GCTACAAGATAACCTAAAAACCTAGAATGGATTAGTACCTTGAATGGATTAGTCTTCCTGCATAGGGTGGGATCTGAGCCCAATCTCTACCCCTAGACCTCCCATTCCCCTATTCTCCCATAAAAGACCATGTCCAACCCCCACTCTGGGCGGAGATTTTGAGTGTTAACTCCTCCATGCCCACTGGTGTAAACAGTTCTCCTGATCTCTCCGAGTGCTGCTCTCCATTCCTCTGCATTTGGTTTTCTGCAGCACCTGAAGTGCAACTCCTTCGGTGGAGTGTTTTCAGGTCTACTGGACCAGTCTGATACCCAGTCTGAACTTTTCTTTAAAGCTTCAACAACTTCTTTCTCTCCTTCTGCAACTTCTTCTGACTGAGCTGTGGTCCCTGCTGGTGTGCATTTCCACATCAAACATAATCTCCTTATCTTTCTGTGGGGAAAGGCTGTTACAGTGGGAACTGCCTCTTCAAGCTCTGCCCTGATACATGCTGCACATCCAGAAGAATCTTCTCCACGTCTCCGTTGTGGATGTGATGACGGTACGTGCTCCAGCCCCCATTTTTCCCATTGCCATTATCATTGCCATTGCTGCTGTTCACAGGGAGCCCCACCCAGGAACTATTGAGGCCAGCTGGCGGAGGCAGAGGCTGCTCGCCCTCCTCGCAGTTATTGTTTTGCAGGGGCGGTGGCAGCTCGACTAAATGAGATGACATGGTCGGGTGGCTGGAAGAGCTGCGGCCACAGCAGGACCATTTCTGGTTCTCGGGCAGCAACACCTGCCTGTTGTACATTATAAATCACCATAGGTATTTTCTGCTCTCTTTCTCTCTCTTTTCCTCTTGAATTAGGAAGAGTACTCTCTCCCCTCCATGGAGTATGCTTGACTTAGTTTATTCCCTTCTTAATACCAGACTAAGTGACACCAATGTAATACTGAGCTGTTATGCAGAGACCATACATATTTATAAAATGTTATATTTTAATACTTAGAGACTCATCCAACTGCCTGCAGAGAAGTGATCAAAGATAAGATTCAGCGTCTTGTATTTCTTTGTGGTAGTGAGGGAGGGAGGAAAACAGGGAGGGAGGAAGGAAAGATATGGAGAATTTCAAAAACGTTATTGAAGTTGCTGCCACAGTGAGGGTTTTTCAGATATAAAGAGATCGTACGCTTTCGCATGTGCAGAACAATTTATCTTTAAAAGAGACATGTGAAATTACAGATGTCCAAGTTTCAATATAAGTATCATATTTCCTTCTTTTCTGTGTCCCTTCTTTAAGTATTTGGCTTTTCTGGCAGCCAACTGGAAGGAATAGGGCCCTTTAGTCTCTTGGTAAAGTTTTGCCATAGGTAGTTTAAAAATGTAGATTAAGTGTCCAGACATTTGCCAGCCAGACACTCTCATCTCAAGTAGACGAATACTATGTGTAGATATTAAATAACCAGTAATCTAATGGAATTATTAGGTAATTTTTTGTCCAGGAAAAGCCTTTATAACTTTACAAAGAAGATAAGCTCTACAGAGTAATATCTAGTGCATATGCATGTGGTTTCGATGTTAAGTTTTTAGTCATAGGGACAAAGGTTTTGTTTATTTTTAAAAATTTGCCAGAGGGTGCATATGCTCACCCTAGAAAGACAGAGAGGGAGGGAGAAAGCACCCCCCAGTGGAGCATGGTCATGCCACAATCCCTCCTCTGTTTCTCTAACCCATCCAGACTTCGAACATGCATACATATCATCTGGCATGTTTTTCAAGCAGCCGAGTCCAGGACATGAACTGTGGTGAGTCATGAGGATCTGGCTTTCTTAGCCGCTAGGCCACGGGGCTGACCCAGGCACAAACCTGAACATGGTATGACCTACCTTTGTGTAGGGACATGTTCAAAGAGAGGCATTGTGTGAGGTGTGGGGACGTGCTCTGAGCAAATACCATCTGTTCCTTTGGGTTATGGCAGAACCTTGCAACTTATCTTTTCCTTGACCCTCACTGCAGGCAAAGGAAAGGATAAATATTGCTAGGGGTATTCCAACAGACACATCTGATGGAATTCAAGAAACATCCTAACTCGCAAAGTCCAATTCCTGCTCTACCTCTGTAAGATTATTTATCCTTCTCCAGGTGTGGTGGTACCCACCTTATGGCAAGATTCGTTTTTTTTTTTTGGAGAGGTTTTTGCGATAGGGCATGTGTGCTCGCCAGACAGACAGACAGAGACAGAAAACGAGAAATCACCCCCTCCCCCCCCAGGGAGCATGGCCAAGCTGCAATCCCTTCTCCTCCATTCTCTTCTCGGGATCTTGGGTATGCACGCACATGCGCCCGATGTGAGTTTTAAGCCACCGGATCTGGGACACGAACCATGGTCAACTATGTGGGAGTCCAGCGACAAAGCCATTACGCTAACTGCTGGTCCCTATGGCAAAATTCTTTAGCCTTATGTATTTTCCCCATACCTGAAGCTCGGCTTCTCTCCATTAGAAAAGAAGAAAATGGGATTTCCCCTTGATGGGATTATCACCAAGGGATAAGCCTGGCCAAATATGTCTAAGCCCTTATAGGTTTGTTACCTGCTGCTTATTGTCTATAACACATCAACATACCTATGGAATGTCATGAAATACACACACGTAATGTCACTTTGCCCTATAAATAAGGGTGCCCAGTTTGTCTGGGCAGCACAAGTTGCTTGGGCTACATAGGCTCAGGCTGCCTGTGTCCACTGTAACTCTGTCTCTTTATCTCATTCTTTCTGCTTCCTTCATAGTTCAAGCCAAGCCTGGGGCAGACGCTGACACCTTTGAATAGTAATCATTCTTAACACTAGGTGAACTACACCCAATGTCCAAAATGTTAGAAATCTTTGATGAGTGCAATTGAACTTTTGTACAGAAGAAGATACTTCCATGGAGCTTACCAATTCAGTTTTTTAATACCAGACTGACTCAGTTACACCAATAGAGAGCCAAGCTGGTATATAATGAGACCATATATGTTTACAAAATGTCTGTATTAACCCAACATCTGACTGCAGAGAAATGAACAAAGGTTCAACATGTTGTGTTACTTTGTGGTAGAATGTATTAGTTTACCCAAGTCAACACATCTTTGTTAAACACCTAGTTTAGTTACATAGACAGTAAAAAGAATGACCATTTATTCTGCATTCTTAAGAGGATTTTAATTTTGGAAGGTTATAAGAAAGATAAATACATAGCCATATATAAGACAGAACAACAAAGGTATCATAAAAGAGGTACAGTGCTCTTTGAGGAGCCAAAAGAAAAGCTATCATTATGCAGGGGAGAGATGGGTCTTAGAAGGCAACTATCCTGCCCAGCCCTGTATTTTAGGTGCTAAGGGAACCTGGATTCCACATGGCCAACCACAGTTCAAGTACTGGCCCTGGCAACTTGCAAAACACTCTGAGTGTATTTGAAGTGTGCCCAGAATCCCAACAGGATGGAGAAATGAAGGGATTGTGGCATGACCACACCTAGCTGGGGAGAGGGAGTGCTGCTTCCTCTCTCTCTCTCTCTCTCTCTCTCTCTCTCTCTCTCGCACAAGTGCACACACCCTCTGGCAATTTAAAATTTTTTTAAAGTCCTTAGGTACTCTGGGTAAAGGAGGAAACAGGCAATATTTTAGAAAGAGAAAGCATTTTCAGTAAGTACACATAAATACACGTGCAAATGCTAGCCAGATTAAGAGATAAGTGACTCGTTTTCGTCATCTAAAACTTGCTCCCTCACACTACATTTAGAGTGACAGTGACAAATAAGACTGGAAGGATAGCTTAGGGACTTATTCAGGGGAATTTAGAATATAGAGCTGCGTATCAAAAGCCATTGCTGAGCTGGTCCTGTAGTGCAGGGGGTAAGCACTGTGCACTGAGAGCCAGATCCCACACTGCTGACCATGGTTCAAGTCTCAGCCCTGGAGACTTGAGAAGCATACTAAGCACATGTGTTTGGATGCTCCAAATCCTGACAGGATGAAAACCTGGGGGCAAAAGGATAGCAGCTTGATCATGCCCCACTGGGGAAGAGTTCTCTCTCTTTGCCTCTCTCTCTTGCCAAGTGCACATGCCTTCTGGCAAAATGATGATGATGATGAAAGAGTCATTATTGACAAAGGGCTGTTTATATAGTTATTGCTTATCTGGGAAATATAAACTAACCAACTGCCTCAAATCTTTACTCACATACAGTTTTACCATTTATAATGGTTACATAATATTTCATTTTATGGATGTACCATCAAATAGGTAACTATTCTCTTTTATTGGACCTGCAGATTGTTTCTAACATTCTGTCATTACAGTAATATTATAACAACTTTTTTTTGCTAATTTTCCTCTTTCACATTACTTCTGTAAGCTAGAATCTTAAATATTAAACTGAGTTAGACATAAAACAAAGTTACTGATACATATTTTAATATTAATTTGCTCAGGCATTTGTGCAAATTTATAGTTCTACTTGAGGTATTAAATTTAGTAACCTGGATTTAAACTTATGGATTTTAATTTATGTCTTTGGGTAACTTGTAAAGGTGCTATTAAGCCACTGATAAATATTACTCCATGAAACACTACTGCTTAAAAAAATTACTCTCTATAAAAGAACTTTAATAAGCCTGACTGGATATTTTAAAAGCACATTGTGTTGAGTGAAACTTTGTATGTAATAACTAGTGAGAGTAATAGAAGGACAAATTGGATGACTAATCTAATTGTCTCAAGGAAAAAATACAATAAAACAAGCTCTTTTGGCTACTTCCTCAAACAACCAACACAATGGAGAAAGTGGAGGAAGTGGCCCATGAATACCATAAAAAGGAACCAGAAAACCTAATATGTAAACTTGGCAAATGATAACATTAGAAGACAAAACAAGAGAACATGCTCAAAATAATCAGAAACACAAAAGGCAAACATTCACTGGAATTGGAATTTTTCTGTCCACAGAGATAAGTCACATATTTGACCTTCACCATGGTTAACAGGCACTTCTTTGAAGCTGTGTTGATGCTGCTGGCCTCTTCCACTATCCTCTCTCTAGAACTGAAGCCATTTCTCTTCCAACAAAGAAGGGTGAACAGAGAGAGTTTTAAACTCTTGAATACACTACGGAGCTCATCAATTCAACAGTGTCTACCACACAGGAAAAACTTCCTGCTTCCCCATAAGTCTGTGAACCCTCAGCAGTTCCAAAAAAGACATACACTGGCCATTCTCCACGAGATGCTTCAGCAGATCTTCAACCTCTTCAGTGCAAATGTTTCTCCGGATGATTGGGAAGAACACTACAAAGAGAAATTCCTCATTGAGCTTCATGAACAGCTAGACTATCTGGAAGGACTCATGGAGCTGGAAGCAGAGCAGAAGAATGATGCCTTGGATAGTGAAGACCGTAGATTGCATGTTAAGAAGTATTTTCGAAGGATCCGCAATTACCTGGAAAACCATAAATACAGCAGCTGTGCCTGGACCATTGTCCAAGTAGAAATCAAGAGATGTCTGTTCTTAGTGCTCAGACTTATAGGAAAGTTGAGCACAGAAGGAATGGACTCTTGAATGATGACATGGAGCAAGTGCTGACTATGGGCTTTAAAAGCAAAGGTGAAGGAGCAAAAGGAGTGTTACTTCAGTTCACCATAAAATGGGAGCATTGTTTTGGTTTTGTATTTATGTATTTATCAGTCTTAAAATTATGCATATAGGACCAGCAGATGGCGTAATGGTTACGTCATTGAACTCCCACATGTCCTGGACCCGGAGTCTTCAAACTCACACTGGGCATGTAAGCATGTGCTCAAAATCCCAAGAGGAGAATGGAGGAGAAGGGATTGCAGCATGGCCATCCCATTTGGATGGTAATTTCTGACTTTCTCTTTCAGTCTGTCTCTCTAGTGAGCACACTTGCCCTATAGGAAAAATCTTTTTTAAAAAATTATGCATATTAATCACAATTTTATAATGTTGCTCAGTGTTTTCTACTCATTTTAAATTGCTTATAAGTAAAAAAAAATTAATAATTGGTTCTTCAAATGAGTGTATTCTCATAAGGTGTGACTAAGTAGATGTAATGAAATATATCTTCAATGTACGAATTCTTTCCTTAACATAGAGCCTCCATCCAATAATTTGCTTATTTTCCAGAAATTTGTAGAGACAATGAGAAATACTAGGAATAATCTGCATTGCAAGATTTGAAAGTATCATTATATAGGGAATATTTAAGTTACAGGAGACACAATAGAAATATAGCCAAAAGGCATGAACAGTTTTAACAGGAAAAAAAATACATGAAAAATATATATTTATTTTTATTTTTGTGAATAAAATTTAAAAATTAGAATGAGGGGGCCAGCAGATGACATAATGGTTATGTCGCTGGACTCCCGCATAGACGACCACAGTTTGAGTCCCTGGACCCAGTGGCTTAAGACACACAGGGTGTGTGTGCGTGTGTTCCCAAAATCCTGAGAGGAAAATGGAGAAGGGCCATTCATGCAGCATGGCCATTCTTTTCTTGGGGGTGATTTCTTGTTTTCTGTCTCTCTCTGTCTTTCTGGTGAGTGCACACACCCTACAGCAAAAATCTCTCAAAAAAAAAAAAAAAAGACGCAAAGACGCCACAGAATGGTGTCTAAAAAGTGTTTTTTTCTGGAGACTTACTCTGTAGTCTAGTGGCTAAACTGAATCCCACATGGTCTACCACAATTCGAGTCCTAACCCCGGAGATTTGACAAATACACCAGGTACAAGGACGCCCAAATAAATCCTGACAGGATAGAGAAAAGGAGAAAAGATTGTGGTGTGACCAGGCTTTGGGGGTGTGTGTGTGTGCTTTTTCTTCTCTGTCTCTCTCTGCCTACTGTACATATCCTCTGACAATTAAAAAATAAAATAAAATGTTATATTTGATTTTTAAATATTGAATATAATTTATATGTGTACTTACTATACATGAATAAGTAAAGAATAAGAAATGAATATCGGAGTGGGTGGCACAGCAGTAAAATATAACACTTTATGAAGTAGACCCAGATAGCAAGGTCACCAGTACAAGTGAGAACTCCTTGGGTGTGCCGGGCATACATGTGCCCTGGATCTGGGCTGGCTGAGGCTAGGGGTGGGTCATGGCATCAAGGCCCTATTGAAGGGGCTCTCTGTCTCTCTATCTTCCTTTCACTCTCTCATTCATGAACTAATTAAACTTTAAAAAAAAGAGAAAGAAGCAAAGAAATTACAACGATTAAGCATATTGAGGAGTAGGGCTGATTAAGGGAGAACAGGATGGGAGAGTTTTTATAGCTCACTTTTATATTTTAATATTGTATTACGAATATTGCAAATTAAAATAACTAAAAATGTATCTGATAAGTCATAGCTACCAGAAATATGTATAAAAGGTCTTACTGGTGAAAGACTGTCAGGTGAAGGTTAGAAGAATCAGCACTGAGCAGTCTCCCTTGTTCAGGATGGCGGAGAAAAAGGAGGCCCGGAGAGAAGCCTCCGCAGGAGGAGATTCCTGGTCCCAGCAGATGCTGGTGATGGAGCAATTGTAGCTCTTTTCAATAGGAGCTCAGAGAAATCATCATAGGACAAATGTGGGGCCAGAAAAACTAAAGAAACTCGGTGACTTTTTCCACTTTTGCCCAGTGCACATGCCAGAGCCATGGCCCAATACATCAGGCCTAGTTCTGCTATATTATGTCATGTTCTACCTCAGATTCATTGCATAAGCTGAGCTGAATATCATTATTGAATGTGGGACCAGCAGATGTCAAAGTGGTTATGTTGCTGGATTCCCAGATGGCCAACCATGGTTCGAGTCCCAGACTTGATGTCTTGAAAATCATGCCAGGCTCATATGTGTGCGTGTCCAAGATCCCAGGAGGAGAATGGAGGAGAAGGAATTGTGGTGCAGCCATGCCCCTCGGGGGGTGATTTCTCACTTTTCCTCTCACTGTCTCTGTCTCTCTCTACAGTGAGTCCACCCCTATGGCAAAAAAAAAAGTTCTAAAAACAAAACAAAGTTATTACTGAATGTAAAAGCTTGAGGAAAAAAAAGCGTATTTCAGCTCAGTTTAATTAGTGCAATAGTTTATTAACTATTGGCAGATGCGTCTAGATTTGATTTGAAAGGAAGGAGTAGGAATTAAATAGGATCCTGAAAGCGAAGCGGAGTCACCCTCCTTTCCTCTGTGAAAAGGGGCAAGGAAGCAGAAGCTGACAGTCAGGAGCAAGCCTTTGCTGACTTCACATGGGAAGCCTGTTTACCTTTAAGTTCATATGGAGGTTGTGAAGTGGGGAGGAGGGGAGACCACACTTGACTGCAAATACAGGTCACTTTGTTTCTCAAATTCTGTAGGATTTATTGTCTTCCTTCTTTAAACCAGGAAGTTTTCAGAACCAAATCCTTCACTGATTCAATTCTCAAATTAACCTTGCAATGAACTTTCTACCTCTTTTCTCAGGTGAGAATAGGACTTTAAAGATAAAGTAACACACTTGTAGTAACACCACAGAGTTCTTCAGCACCTGAGAAGTCAGGCCATCCCACGTTGGCCTGACTCAAAAGCCGGCACTGTGTTTCTGACACCACACACCTGAAAAACACTGCAAAACAATAACGCTTCAATATGATAATAATTTGCCTCTGCTTTTATTCAGTCAAATTCACAACACTTTGCAACCTTGAATTAAAGAAAGAACTTTCCCCCTTAACCCAGGACATTTCTTTCCATAGAACTGAGAAGAACAGAATGGAGCGTGTCACATAGAAACTTCTAGCAGGTAATGCTCATAGGTAGAAGCTAAATCCAATGCTTTTCATGCCAGTGTTTTCTCAAACATTTAGAATGACATTCTGTTTTTATAACTACTCTGTGCCTAGTACAAAATAAACATTTATTTCTTTTAAATATGTGCCCTTTTAAACTTTAAAATCAAGGTTCTAAACTTGGAGATACAGTGAGGAAAAAATACCTTAAAAGACTGGATTCCCTGTTTATGCATGGGCTGGGAGTGCAGCTAAGTTTATCTATATTCACAAACAGAGTCATTCAGGTTATCTTTGTTAAAATCTACATGTGCTGGAAACCAGCAGTTAGCGTAATGGCTATGTCGCTGGACTCCCACGTAGTCGACTGCGGTTCGCGTCCCAGACCCGGTGGCTTAAAACTCACGCCAGGCACGTGTGCGCGTGTGCCCCAGATCCCGAGAGGAGAATGGAGGAGAAGGGATTGCGGCGTGACCATCCCCCCTGGGGGGTGATTTCTTGCTTTCTGTCTGTCTGGCGAGTGTATGCGCCCTATAGCAAAAACCTCTCAAAAAAAAAAATCTACGTGTGTTGAATTTATCAGATTATTAAGTCCAAAAGCAGATTATAAAATAGCAAGTATAATATTACATTTTCTATAGTAAAATATGAATTAAAAAATGTCTGGAAAAAATGCACTAAAATGTTCACAGTAGTACTATCTGGGGATAGAAAGTCCATTTTCTTATACTTTTTGTATTAAATATTTCTCCTATGAACATGAATTTATTTTAGAACCAAGGACAATGATTTCATTTTTGAAATAATATTAAAAAACAAAAACAAGAAAGAACAATAGGGGCCAGCAGTGGTGTGGTGGTTATGGTGGCTGGATTCCACATGATGATTGCATGGTTGGAATTCTGGACCCAGCAACTTGAAAAACACACTAGGCACATGAACATGCATGCCCAAAATCCTGAGTGGAGAATAGAGAAGGAGCTGTGGCATGGCCATCCCCTCTAGGGTGTTTTCTCACTTCCTCCATATCGCTCTCTCTCTGGTGAGCACATGCACCTTATAGCAATTTTTTTTAAAAAAGAAGAAGAACAACGACGACGACAACAAATATGGCCCCTTTCAGAGGTTTCTCTTAGGATGCTTATCACGTGCTGTAAATTAAACCCCACTCCAACATGCATAAGACTCATCAGGAGGGTTTGCTAAAACACAGATTGCATGGTCCCAAGTCCATTCTTTCATATCCAACAGATCCGTGGTTGGACCTAAATATTTGCATCTCTAAAAAATTCCCACGTGATGCTGATGCTGCTGGTTTTGTGACTACACATGGGTCGCCATCCTGACTTGACAGCCTTGGTAGACTTTTAGCAGATAAAGGCACAATTTCCTTGACATCGTTGATCTCCTATTTTCTACGACACCTGCAGAGAAGTGAGCATCCCAGAGAGGAGATCACTGCTGAGTCATTTTGTTTTGTTTTGTTTTGTTTGTTTCCCCTTGCTTTTACTGCTACCTTTTTATAGCAGTAGATTCAAAGGAGCTCTTGGAGGCTGACCCACCAAGGAGGATTCTGGATTCATGTCTGGAGATTGCCTTGAGAGTACTGGGCAAGCACGTACCCAAAATACAAGGCTGATTGGGACTGGGAGTGGGTCACAATGTTGGCACCCTATTAGGGGTGCTGTCTCCATCTCTCTAAGTCAGGCAAGAAATATATGGATACACTTTATTTCTCTTTCTTTCTTTCTTTCTTTCTTTGGGGAGAGGTTTTTGCTATAGGGCATGTGTGCTCGCCAGAAGGACAGAGAGAGACAGAGAGACAGAAAGCGAGAAATCACCCTCTGGGAGGGGTGGCCATGCCGCAATCCTTTCTCCTCCATTCTCCTCTTGGGATCTTGGGCATGCATGCACATGCGCCCGGCGTGAGGTTAAGCCACCAGGTCTGGGACGTGAACCGAGGTCGACTACATGGGAGTCCGGCGACATAGCCATTACACTAACTGCTGCACACTGTCGGGCCCAAAAAATGGAAAACATTTAAAAAAAAAAAAAAAAAAAAAAAAAAAAAAAAAAGCTGACTGTAGGGACCAGCAGATGGCATAATGGTTATGACGCTGCATTTTCCCATAGTCAACTGTGGTTTAAGTCTTGGAAACAGCAGTTTAAAACTCACGCTGGCCACAAGGACCAGAGGTTAGCATAATGGCTATGTCGCTGGACTCCCATGTAGTCAACTGTGGTTCGAGTCCCAGACCTGGTGACTTAAACTCACGCCGGGAGCCTGTGCATGTGTGCCCAAGATCCTGAGAGGATAATGGAGGAGAAGAGATTGTGGTGTGGTCATCCACCCTGGGGGGTGATTTCTCGCTTTC